GACCTTTATTACAGCGGTTGGCTATTCGGTTGTGGGCTCGGTCCAGTCGATCTTGAATCGTCTCACGAAGGTCGTCCAGTTTCTTCAGTCGGTTCACCCATTCATTTGGGTTTGACGCCACTTTATCTCCGGTGGACTCTACCTTCCGGCGTAAGCTTTTGGGAGGTCTCGGTTGCCGTCCGAAGTTTAGAAAGGCTGGCGACGTTCGTGTGGTCGACTGCACTGCTGTGTTTATCGCGTAGCGGAGTTCATTTAAATGCTGGTCCCAATCCTTATGATTGTCGTTGTTAAAAGTCGCGATCATCGTTTTCAATGTGCGGTTCGTGCGTTCGACTGGATTAGTTTGCGGATGGTATGGCACGGTGGTAACGTGTTTGATACCATACTCTTGTAGCATGGTATCCACGCATTTGTTGGCGTATTCCTTGCCGTTGTCGGTTAATAGGTAGTCCGGGGTCTCCCACCGAAATAATATCAGCTCTTCGAAGGCTCGGGCGACATTCTTGCCATTAGCTGGTCGTATCGGCTTCAACTCTATCCAGCGAGTGAATAGGTCCTGGAACACTAAGAGGTATTTGTTCTGAGTCTTGCTCCTGGGGAATTCCATGGTGTCTGCTGCAACTATGGCCCATGGTCGGTCAATATTCCGCCGGCCCATTAGGCCTTGGGGTCCTAATTGACTGGCTTTATACTTCTGACACTTCTCGCAATGAGTTACGTAGTTGTATACGCTTGAATACATCCCTTTCCAGTAATAATCATGAGCAATTCTCAGATAGGTCTTCTCAACTCCTAAGTGTCCGGTCGTTGTCAAGCAGTGGGCATCGTACATTATTTGCTGTCTATATTCGTCAGGTACCACAAGCTTCCAGTTAGTCTCTCCATCAGTGACCGGGTCGGTCGACTCATCCAGTCGGTGATAGTATAGCATATTGTCCTCGACCTTCCAGTCCGGGAATTTTGCTGGATTCTGATTGACATCCCATCGTCGTCGCAGGTACCAGGTGTCTTTGATCAGCTTGAAAGCTGATACGACATCTGGCCCTGGCGATATTCGTGATAATGCGTCGGGCAGGCCATGCAGGTTCCCTTTCCGGTGTTTCACAGTGATGGGCCATTGTTGTAGCTCCAGGATCCAACGGCCTAAGCGACCCGTTGGTTCTTTATTATTAAAGAGCCAGGTCAGGGCGCTGTGGTCGGTCACGACGGTAAATTCGTAGCCTTCTAGATATGGCCTCAGCTTGTTTATCGCGTATATTACGGCCAAGCATTCCTTCTCAGTCACCGAATAGTTGCGCTCAGGTCCTGTTAAAGATCTGCTGATGTATACTATGGGATGTTCCCCGTCGCCGAATTCTTGACTTAGCACCCCTCCGATGGTGAAATCACTCGCGTCGGTCTGGACGGTGAAAGGTCGACTGAAGTCGGGACGGGCTAATACCGGAGCTTGCGTTAAGGCTTGTTTTAATGTTTCGAAGGCTACTTGCTGTTCCGGTCCCCAGGTATACACCTGGTTCTTCTTCGTCAGTTTTTGCAGTGGAACTTTAATCTCAGAGCAATTCTTGATGAATCGGGAGTACCACTCCACCATTCCTAAAAAGCTTTTTAATTGTGTAACAGTACGAGGCACTGGGAATTCCAATACTGGTTTAGTGCGGTCTGGATCTTGTCGAAGTCCGTCGTGGTCCAGCAGAAATCCCAGGTAATTAAGGCGAGAGCATCCAAATTCACATTTCTTAGTGTTGATCTGCAGGCCAGCGTCGTTGAGTCGTCTGAGGACTAGTTCCAAGAAGTGTAGGTGGTCGTCAAAGTTCTCTGTCGCTATAATAATATCGTCCAGATTAGGGAAAACATATGGTTCCTAGTCTGGTCCGAATAGGGCATCAGCTAGTCGTTGAAACGTGGCTGGTGCGTTTACTAATCCGAATGGCATTACTACAAACTCCCACAACCCTTCACCAGGGCTTGCGAAGGCCGTGTATTGGCAACTGTCTTCTTCTAGTGCAATCTGAAAGTATGCTTGTCGTAGGTCTATCTTGCTGATGTATCGGGCATGTCTAAGTCGGTCCAATATAGAATCCATGTTCGGGAGCGGATACGCATCTTTGCGGGTCATCTTGTTCAGATCTCGATAGTCGATACAGAACCTCCAGGTTCCATCAGGCTTCCGGATCATTACAGGTGCGCTTCTCCAGGCACTCTTGGACGGTCTTATAATCCCTAAATCGTACATTCTCTTAATCTCTTCTCGAACAATTTTCTGCCCTGCTGGTGACATCCTACGCAATCCTTGCCTAACCGGTTTAGAATCTCTTACGTCAATCAGATGTTTTACTATAGGCGTGCGACCTAACTGGTCTGTCTCAGGCGGGAGCAGCCTCTCTATTACTTCATTTAGCTTTGCGGTCTGGGCGGTCGTCATTTCGATCAGCCCGCGCATTCCGCAGAGAAGGTTATAACATCGTGGGGTTTGCGAGGCCTCAAATAGTGCCATCGCCCCCCACGTACCCTCCATTTCTTGTCCTTGAACAGTAATACCATGTCCCATTCAGTCAAGAAATCTAGTCCAAGGATGATGGGTGGTCCGGTCAGGTTAGTCATCGCTTTGAAATTAAACCTTGCCGTATGCCCATCACAGCTCACTTGTAGTGGTAGCTCTCCTTCGGTTCTTTCAATTACCCCGGTCACTCCTTGTACCTCACTGAAACGCGGTATTAGTCGGTCTCGGTACTGGGCTGTGATCGAGGGTCCGATGATAGATACTGATGCACCTGAATCTATCAAGGCATCGTATACTATCTTGCCGATTGTGATAGGAATGAACAGACGGTTGTCGCAGTGTGCGCTCTTAACCGGGAGGGTTCCTGGCTTATTTGTAGCCCCATTCTGGTCAGTTTCGGACTCGTCTGGTCGATCGGTTAATCCAGCGTCGAATGACGTAGTCTTCCCTGAGCAGTCGGCTGGCCCGCATAGCTGGGTGTCCTCCTCCCCTTGAGGGTTCGCGTGTGACTCCGAGTTATTTCTGCTGTCCTCGGGGTCAGCGAAGGTCACCGTCTTTACCTTGGTGCCAGTCTCTATCCTACCTGGCTCCCAAGGTCCTATCGGTCTCTTCGGCGTTCGTCTCCCTGAGTTGTCGTAGCTTTCCTCAGGGCCAACGGTCATTGCTCTCTGCTGCTTCATATTCCTGGGGCCTGCGTCCATCTGGCCTGACTCCTAGGAATTTCCTTCATTGCTTCTTGCCCCTGACTCTGAGTTATTTGTGCTGTCCTCAGAGTCAGGTGATTTCTCTCGCTGCTGCTTCGCTCTCCTGGGGCCTACACTAGTCTGGCCTGACCCACAGGAGCCTTCTTCGCCGCACTTCCCCCTGGGGCCTACATCCATCTGGCCTGACACCTAGGGGTACTTGCCTACGTTGCTTACTCGCTCTCTTACGGGTCGGTTGCTGGAAATCTGGTCATTGCTGGGCTTAGGGTCCGATTTTTCCACGGCCCGGTCAACAGAGTCCAAACTTTTCAGCTTCCTTTTACTCAGGGGTGGGTACGTTGCGTTTTCCACCCTTGAGTCGGTCGGGATGCATTTGGTCGGAAGTTGCAGGATGAGTGTGTCCGGCGTCTCGAGTGTCCGCAGTAGCTTGCTTAGAGGTTCGTCGTCCGTCCAGAGAGGTTGGTCGATGGGCATGTCTGACTCCTCAGAGCTCGTCTACAGGGCCAAGTGAGGCGTTTCGACTACGTCCTGGTCCATAGGCTCCAGCTCCGCTGTCGCTTTTCCTCGTCCAGTGCGCCAACTCTTTATCTTCTCATCCTCTTCCTTCCATTGTGCATCCTTCTCGAATCCCTTTATTGCAGGTCGCTGATGGTTCGGGGAAGTAGCGGGCTCGCCTGCTCCCCCGAAGCCTCGTTTCCCAGAAGCCCAGTACGACGATTACTGCAGTTTTTGCAGAAGTCAAATGGTGCTCCTGGTAGTTTGCATACTTGGCAGAACGTTCCTCTTACTTCTCGTGGTCGCTCTCTCAGAAATAACGCAGCTCTTTTTGGACATTGTCCTGCCATATGTCCAGGCTCATAGCAGAAATAGCACTTCCGTCTTGGGAATTTTCGGTAATCATGATCATCTGGGCACGCTCTACATTGATCAGGCCTATACGGCTGACGGTCTGGCTGGGGCGGCTGAGGGTTAGCAGGAGGTCGTAAGGGTAGAATCGAGAATCGTAACCATCGAGACTTATACCCTTGATCTAACTGCGGAGGATTCGATTTCGTCATACCGTTTGAAGGTGGAACGGTGACGGTCGAGGGGATCGGTGGTAGCTCCAGATACTGGTGCGGGTTCATCGACGACATAACCTGTGCCAGCATCGGTGCATCAGGAGGTTCCTTGGGTACCGTGGTCGTTTTGACCTTCACGGGTTCCTTGATCTTTGGCTTCCTGTCTTGTTTCGATGTCAGGTCAGGTGAAGTCTCCTGGCTCCGATTTGGTTCTACTTTGTCCGAACTTATCGAAGAAATCTTGGCCATTCTCTTACTGGTCTTCAGTGCCGCTGCTGGAAAGCGAGTCTTGTTTGACGGAGAGTGATACTGCTCATCCATTTCCTCCAGATTTTCCCACTTTCGCCCATAATAGGTCAGGTCGCTAAAATGTCGTATAGACTTATCGGCCATATACCTCCTATAAGCTAGCAGTAAGTTACGCTGGGCAATCTTAATCTGGGTCGAGGTGGAGAGTGGATGCTTGAAGAAACTCGCGATGTGTCGAAAGGCATCGAGGTAGTCGATGATGGTCTCCCCTTGGGCCTGTGACCGACGTCGCAGCTCCTCCTCAATATCATCATCGGTCATCCTACGTCCATAGTGGTCTCGCAAGGCTCGTTTTAGATCCCTCCAGCAATGGATTTCTCTGGCCAGGCTACGGTACCAGGATGCAACTTCCTTGGTGAATGTGGACGATATCACATGCAGCAGGTCGCTGCTGGTCATTCCGGTCCGGGCCTTAACTTCTTCAACTTATCCGATGAACTCTTCTGGGCCGTCTAATCCATTATATTTAATCTTTCTGCTTTCCAGTATCCTGATGTTCCTCAAATCGCGTTTAGCTACATCGTACTCCTCATAATGCCTGTCCCGATACGGACGCCGTTGGTCCGGACTACTCTGGAGGTCACTCGAGTACTCTGATCCGCTGGTCTCAGATGCGTAGCGTTCAGGTTCACGCCAATGGTCGCGGTCATCCCTATGACGATGGTGTGACTGGACCTTAACGGGTTTATGGCGGCGGGCTGGACTGTCTCGCTCACTGCTGCTGTCTGAATCCGAAGACGAATCCCTACTTCGATGGGAGCGTCTTGAATGCCGATCATCTTTCTCATGCCTATGTCTTCGACCGTAGCTCTCGTGCCTCTGATGTACTCGTGGCTTCGGTGAGTCATGGTCGCAGCAGTGGGTCTTTCCATGTGATCGCACAGGGCTTGGGCTCACTTGCTTCGATTTAGACTTGCCAGAGCGAGTCGATTTAGTTGGTCGTCTGATAGTCTGATCAGGGGATCTGCAGTCAGTCGTGTGCGATCGATTACCGCGTTTATCGCTACGTCGGTCCAGACTCGAATGCTTAGGGTGTCTTTGCTTATGCTGCTTCGAAGAGGGTTTACGTGGAGACGTCCTCCTATCGCTCTCACTGGCCGTATCATCTGATGATAAGGCACCCACGTAGGCAGAAGTCTTCGTCTGGCGGTGTGAACTGATGAGCCAATCCTCACTAGGGCGCAGCAGTCTACTGCATGATGTCCTAGATCTTTCCTGTCCATACCCGGTCAGGTCACCCTTCCGGCTGGTTTCTGGTCCAATTGGTAGTTCTATTCGGTCTTCTTCTCCCAACGGAAGCAAGGATCGGTTCAGGTCCGCCCTCCTAAAAGACTCTTCGCCCCGGCCAGTCCTTCGGCTCTCCCTGATGGCTGGCTCGTCGGTATCGGTCCCTTTATCTACTCCACTCGATTCAGCGACGCCTCTCTTCGTTCTGGTGACTCGGCGAATAGTTCCTGTACACTCCGAAAGCTTCAGATGTATCTCAGATTGGTCGGCGGCCCCATGCGGCGGTAACCTTCGTAAATTTCTGCCCTTCCTAACCGGCTGTTTTACGACAGCGTCGGCCTTCTTATGATTGCATGCTCCACTCATTACTGAGGCTTGTTGGGTACGTTTAGATCGTCGTAGCTTCCCTGTCGGATCGGCTGTGTCGTCCTCTGAGGTACTTGGATCAACAAGGTAGGGCGGATTAGCTTGACTAGGTACCTTAGAAAGCGGGCGAACCTTATGTGCCTTCACTCCTGATCGGGCGTTCGGGTCGTGGTCACTTTCCTCGACAGTCTTGGTAGCTTTGGGTTTTGGGCGACTTCGTCCTTCTGCTGCTGTGGATTCTGATTGGTGTGTCTGAGCATCACTACTGGTTTCCACAGGACGCCATAGTACAGTGCAATAAGCTGGGAAGGTGCTAAGATGTAAGGATCCTTTGATTCGTTAGTCCGGTTTTATCTTATTTTAAAAAGTATGATTAGGAATTTTATTTATTATATGTTAATTGATACTCACATATAATCAAATAAACCAAGCCTAATTGTACACAAAAAGAAACAAATCATGAACCACTGATGTTCTACCTTTTATATGAGAATTCAATTAGAAGCGCGTATTTGAACCATATCGCTGCAAACAAATTGTAAACAACTAATGAAACAAAACACAAATTTTTCATTCCGATGGATGAAAAACAAAATTCAATTGAATAATTGAAACTTACTCGTAATAAACTCGCTATAGCCCCTAGTGTATGTGTATGGTGTAGACTGTAAATGCAGTATAGGAATATGACGATTCCAGAGTGATTCTGATATTATAAAAAAAGACTTCAATTCTGATAGTAATTTCACACAGCCTCTTGAATCTCACGATTAGTTGAGTTAACAATGGTACAGTTACACTTAGAATATTTACTACGACGTACTTCCCAGATTGCACGAAACTTTTCCGCTAAAAATATTTCAACAATCAGACAACCGAGTATTTGTTGCTCCTTCAGTCTCGCGTTTGCTATGACCTGTTTCTGATTGAGAGCACCCTCGACGGGTGACATTTTTGGTTGTGACTAACTTTATCAATGAAAGCGTGAGTAGTTTCAACTTGAATCAACGCTGATGCTGGATTGTAGTCTTTCAGAAGAATGATTGGTTGTTCATTTGAATTCACTTGTTTGCCATTATCGTCAATTAGAGGCAGTGAGAAACGTAAGTACTTTCCAAAGCTTCGCGATGGTTTTCAATAAAATTTTCTGGAGATGTAGCCCAATTAGGAATTTCCAAATCGGGCAAATCTTCGTGTATAGACTTGAATACGCTTGGGTCAGTGAAAAATTGTGGTATATATTCATCTGGAGTCCAATCATATAATCTCTGAATAGATGCAGGATATTCGCCAGGTACCCAAAGGGGTCTCACGTGCTTACATAAAATAGATTTCGAGTAATGTCTCGAAAGATAAGTGTAATATGTTATTTCGGACAATACATCCGATACGTGATAACCTACCTACAAATATCATTTGTATCAAGATAAAGGCAAAGTAAAAATATGATCACAATTTGATTGAAATACTTACTTCTGTTGATCCAGAATCGAAAGTGAGGTCAAGTTGTCTGTCACCTTTGTTCAATCTAAATTTTGATTTTGTGAAATCTCTCCAGTTTCCTCCACATCAAGAAGTAAAATCAGTTACCCAAGGCATTACATGGTGACAACTGGGATCACCATCTCTTCTTCCAACTAAATTATTTAAAGTAGTCAGATAATCGTGGTTGCTCAATTGGCCGTGTACCCACATTTCACACAAATTGGTAATACTCTGATATTTATTATTTTTTTCTTTAAACTTGTCACCATATTTTAAACTAGTCACCATAACTTACTGATATAGCAGCAGGACTATATATAACACATCTAACGATCAAGAAGAATAGATTGTTTTAATATTAATGAAATACAGTAGTATTTTGCAGGAATTATTGAATGCACTCACTCCCTGAGAGAATATTTAGCAGTTTGCTCATAAAAAATCACAATTGCAGATTCAGTTTCCATTGCTAATATAGCAGGTAATAGGTTGTAATGAGAACGATTAAAAATTGCCGGTTTGATAAGAGTCAAATTATTTTGTTGAAATTAAATAATGATACAACCATACATTCGACTGATTATGTCTTTCATTAATTCTTTACCATTTGTAATTCCTATTGTATTATTTTGTTCTTTACAATCTAAAGTGTTCCGAAGAGCTGAAAATCAAAATCAATATTATTTATAATAAAAGTATTTACTATAAATATTGTTTTTAAATACATACCAAAATGTTTTTTAAAGAAATATTTCCACAGATTTTAATAATTTGTTTTAGCTACATAATGTGACACCTGTGAAAAGGTCAATTCAGATCCTGCTTTAGAACTATAGTTATTGAACATCTTTCTCTTGATAGAGTAAAAACATTGCGATGGTTTTTTTTATAAACCTTGATATAAATTCTACTCCAATCAATACCTAACTCATCTAGAGAAGGTTATGCTGCTAAATAAATTCGCGTTAACAAACTTTACAGTTTAGAAATATAATTATTTACTTGAGGACTACCGGAATTTGAGTTAATGTACTAGCACTATATTAATAAACATGGTTCACCTTGGCCACAAACGTAAATGTTTGGATTGATAACAATTGCTACTAATCACTTCAAAACTTTTCATCAGCTTAAAATTCATCCACTCAATTTTCGATTTTGCAAATATATAATATGAAAGAACTACTATTAAAACTTTTGAAATAAATTATCAAATTCAGTGTCAATATATTTTTTAATCATTCATTTGAAAAAATTCCCAGTGTCCACCGCCGAAGCAGGTGGACACGGGGCGGCGAGCGCACGATGACTGAACCGAAAATGCTCAAATTTATGCTAAAGCATATAGCATCGCCATCTATAGGAAATCAAATCATAATAAACTAAACTAGAGCATTTTCGGTTCAGTCATCGTGCGCTCGCCGCCGATTTAGGTATTGATTGGTTAGGTATTGATTGGAGTAGAATTTATATCAAGGTTTATAAAAAAACCATCGCAATGTTTTTACTCTATCAAGAGAAAGATGTTCAATAACTATAGTTCTAAAGCAGGATCTGAATTGACCTTTTCACAGGTGTCACATTATGTAGCTAAAACAAATTATTAAAATCTGTGGAAATATTTCTTTAAAAAACATTTTGGTATGTATTTAATAACAATATTTATAGTAAATATTTTTATTATAAATAATATTGATTTTGATTTTCAGCTCTTCGGAACACTTTAGATTGCAAAGAACAAAATAATACAATAGGAATTACAAATGATAAAGAATTAATGAAAGACATAATCAGTCGAATGTATGGTTGTATCATTATTTAATTTCAACAAAATAATTTGACTCTTATCAAACCGGCAATTCTTAATCGTTCTCATTGCAACCTATTACCTGCTATATTAGCAATGCAAACTGAATCTGCATTTGTGATTTTTTATGAGCAAACTGCTAAATATTCTCTCAGAGAGTGAGTGCATTCAATAATTCCTGCAAAATACTACTATATCTCATTAATATTAAAACAATCTATTCTTCTTCATCGTTAGATGTGTTATATACAGTTCTGCTGCTATATCAATAAGTTATGCAAAGCTATTATTTTTCTCTTATCAACTTCTCCGATTATCTAGAGAATTTCATGATTGTGGATTGCTATTGGGTGATGTTACCCTTAGTGATATATTATTAATGGATAATTTCGACATACGGGTTTGTGAAAAAATATTACAACTTATAATTTTTACAATTGTAGATCAGTTGACCACTGAAACTATGTGTAGGTATTACCAAATCTAGATGATAATTTTCATGCCATCGATCATCCAGCAGAATTGGAAAATAATAAATGTGATGACAAGTTTAAAGAAAAAAATAATAAATATCAGAGTATTACTAATTTGAGTGAAATGTGAGTACATGGCCAATTGAGCAACCACGATTATCTGACTACTTTGAATAATTTAGTTGGAAGAAGATATGGTGATCCCAGTTGTCACCATGTATTGCCTTGAGTAACTGATTTTACTTCTCGATGTGCAGGAAACTGGAGAGATTTCACAAAATCAAAATTTAGATTGAACAAAGGTGACAGACAACTTGACCTCACTTTCGATTCTGGATCAACAGAAGTAAGTATTTGTGACGTCCGGGTCACTATCTCAGGTACATTTGAGGCGGACGTTTTTCTTAGTTGCTCTATTTGGTTTGCGTGCGTACGCTTAAACCGGGACGAGCAATTGGAGTATTAGAGCTTTTCTATTTCGCGTTTCGCGTTGAAAGAGAGAAAAATAAAATTGGACTACAAGTCTCCCATCAAACACCAGGATCCAATGGAATCGGGACTTGCATGTGAATATCCCAGACCTTGCTGGAATTGTCACATAAAAGAATTTAATTTTTCTTTAACGGCGCGACTGTCTTATAGAAAAGTATCCCAATCCTTGTTGAAATACTCTTCGAAGACTTATTTTTTCGAATTCCGGTCTAACTATTTTACTAGAAAGGAAGAGGAAAGATATCAACAAAAAATTTTGTTTAAACTTACTTTTGTTTTATTCAATGGACTTGACTGGTACTTGGAGAGTCTGAACCTGACACTTGGTCGAACTTCGTACAATGTAGTAAAACTTATGAAGCTTGCGAGGAGCGAGAGAGTGGACGATTTTCGCTTGCGCACGCCCTTTTAAACCCTGGGGGTGGTTGGGAGGAAAATCCCTCTTTCAGTCCCTCAAAATTTGGGAAGAGTGGAAATGCCAGTAAATTCTAATTGGCTGACTGAGATTTTCCCTCCTTTTCTCTTTCGGATTTCGGGCCCTAATTGGTTCAGGGGCGTGGTGAGAATTGGGGGCGCGCGTTCAAGAGTTTGGGCCCTATCTCGTTAGATGGCTCTCCAAGTACCATTTTCATTACAAATTTTCTTATAATTATTGATTTATTTGTTACGTAAAATTGTTACAATTAATTCTTAATAATAACGCAAGTTTCTTAATATTTAACATATTTTACGCGAAAATCTCTAATCCTATATGTTTACAATTAGTAACTTAAATAATTAACTCAATTCGTTGTTTAAATAATATGGAACAAAAAAGGGGTATTATTTAATTGCGGACTGTATAACTGATTTGCTAAAATTCATTCAAGTAACTGTTTTCGACTATTTACCTCATTTTCTAATTTATAATTTCAAAACTTTGAGTTATTTTCAATGATTGCGCGGCAACTATGTTTCTAATCAAAAAGTGTGTGGGAGGTTTCAAGAAGCTGCGAAATTTTCCTATCATGCTGTTATTTTCCCGATTCATTTGTGTAAAATTAATTATTAAGATTTTTTTTATATAGCAAAAGTTTTAGCTTCTAAAAGTGGAAAACTTTTGGGTGAAATCGTGCAATAGGATGTAGGCAGAATTCCGCGGCTCCTTTACTTTATATCTAAACCTACTCAAAAAAAACTTTACGATCTTTCGGAGTAAAATTTGGAAAGTGCGCGACAAAGGGACGGGTATTTTCACGAGTCCTCCAGCCGCTTCAGCTGACTGCTCTCCCTTTGCTCATTCACGGAGTTAAAATTTAAGTTACGTATTGAGCACGCAAAAGCATACGAGAAAATAATTAATTTTATTCATAGTAAAAGGCCCGACGTTACATATTTCAATCAAATTGTGATCATATTTTTACTTTGCCTTTATCTTGATACAAATGATATTTGTAGGTAGGTTATCACGTATCGGATGTATTGTCAGAAATAACATATTACACTTATCTTTCGAGACATTACTCGAAATCTATTTTATGTAAGCACGTGAGACCCCTTTGGGTGCCTGGCGAATATCCTGCATCTATTCATAGATTATATGATTGGACTCCAGATGAATGTATACCACAATTTTTCACTGACCCAAGCGTATTCAAGTCCATACACGAAGATTTGCCTGATTTGGAAATACCTAATTGGGCTACATCTCCAGAA